GCCCCAGGTCCCCGCGGCGCGCGGGCGGCCTGGAGAGGGGCGCGGCTCGGCCTGGCCTGGGGCGCCGGGGCTTTTCAGGGACCCCCGGGAGCCCGGCTGCCCCTTCGCTGCGGCTGGCTGGGAAATAAGGGTGCAGCCAGGGCTCGTCGGCACCCCTGTCTCCGAGATTGGGATTTAAAGGGACAGGAACTGCGTAATGGGGAGGCGCCCAGGGCGCTCTCGGCCCCTCCCGGGAGCGAGGAGGCGACGCTACGCAGAGCAGACCCGGGCCGGGCGGGGGAGCTCCTGCTGCGAGAGCGCCCCAACCTTCCCCGAACCCCGCGCGCCTGGCTCCTCTGTGCACCGCCCACCCCGAGTTGACTGGGAGGCTCCAAACCACAGGTGGTTTTTCTTACGGCTAAAAGCCCGTCCTTGTCTCCCGGCAGTTGGGGTCCATGCCTGGGTTGGGGGAGGCTACCCTGCCTCAGAAAACATTTATTTGGCGAATGTTTCTTCCCTCCAAAAAAAATTCAGAAGGGGCACTGAAAGTCCAGCCACACGTAGGCATGCGGGCGTGAAGTCGCAGGCCCTCTCCAACAGGTACCCCCTGCGCACACTCCGTGAGGGGGGGCTCGTTTTGGGAGCAAAGCAGGATCGCCACTGGGGCGTTACTAGGTCCCTCTCCACCCTCCTGCCTCACCCCCGGATGGTGTCGAATTCTTAGATCAGCGCATCCGGGCACAGATTTAAAACGCATTTCTTGCACCGTAAGTCCGCTGGCAGAAGCCAGCCTTCCCAGCTCTCCCGGAATCTGTGCGGTGGACTGCGGAGGGAGCGACTGTACAGGGTTCCCAGTTCAGTGGAGTCGAAGAGGGGTGACTCGGAGCATTGACCCAGGAACTGCAAACCAGGCAACGGATCCTGAGATTTTGGACCCCAGAAGAGGGCTACTTTGAAGCCCCTCTCTAGTGAGGGGCCTGTTCACACCTACCCGTGGCCGGAGGGACCACCGTCTTTCGGGCTTGGGTTAACCAGGCTCTTTGCCTGAAAACCCAGTCCCAGCGGAACCTCACGCTTCAGGATACCCTCTCGAAAGCCCATCCGAGCCCCTCAGCACGGCCCTGTGGAGTCAGTGAAAGAGCTGACACAGTTTTCCCTTACAGTGATTTCGTCCCTCCTAGTTAGTCCCCTCTGATAGCATAGTGCCTAAGGCACTTGACTGCTAACCAGAAGGCTGGAGGTTCAAACCCACCAGCCACGCCTCGGAAGGAAGGTTGGGCAATCCTACTTCCGTAGTGATACTGCCTCGGAAACCCAAGGAGGGGTCGCTATGAGTCAGGGCCGACTCGATGGCAAATAACAACAACAACAGTTAGTCCTCTAGATCTGTCCTGGAGGAAGTGCAGCCAGAATGCTCCTTGGAAGCAAGAATGGCCAGACTTCGTCTCACCTATTTTGGTCATGTTGTAAGAAGGGTCCATTCCCTGGAGAAGGATGTCATGCTTGGTAGGGTGGACGGTCGACAAAAGAGGAGGAGACCTTCAACGAAATGGATTGACACGGGGGCTACGATGATGGGCTCAAGTATAGCAGGGATTGTGGGGCTGGCGCGGGATCGGGCAGTGTTTCGTTCTGCTGTGCATGGGGTCGCTATGAGTCGGAAACGACTTGATGGCACTTAACAACAACAAAAGTTAGTCCCCTAGCCCTGGGCTCATAGTGACCATGTCTCTACCCACATAGGTCAAACACATCTGGGCTTTATTGTTGCTGTTGCTGCGTGTCAGATGATTCTGACCCTATAGGACAGAGGAGAGCCACCCCCATAGGGTTTCCTAAGCTACCCTTTTTACAGAAACAGCCCTCGTTGCACAGAGCTTAAGCACTCAGCTACTAACCAGTCAGTGGTCAGAACCCACCAGCCCTCTGTAGGAGAAAGACGGAGCAGTCAGCCTCCCTGAAGATTACAGCCTTGGAGCCCTGTAGGGTCACTGTGAGTCAGAGTCCATGCCGCAGTGGGTTTGGGGTTAACCTTTCCATGAGAACCTTTCCCCCACCCTCACCCCCAAGGAGCTACTGGTGGGTTCTGACCACTGACCTTGGTCAGCACCTGAGCAGTTAACCATTGCCCCACCAGGGTTTCTTGGGTTTTATTAGACATTGCAGGTTTCTATCCGTTTAAACCGTGTGCCTGCTCTCAGATGCCTCCCACCCTCCCCAACAGTAGGCATCTTCAGACTTTGTTTTTTGTCTCACTTTATTTCAGTGTGTCCATGTGCGTGTGACATAGTGTCTCAGAACGGGTTGGAACACAGAGAGATGGCCTGTGGTGACTGTGGAGGCAAAAGGGCTGTGGGCCCGTCCTGGCAGCACTCAGGCTCAGACCCAGGCCCAGGACTGGTCTGCTGTGGGACTCTTGGCGGGCAGAACCTCTGAGCCCAGTTTTCTCACCTGTGAAACAGGCACCGTTGTGGTGCCAGTAGGATTCCTGTGAGCATCCCAGGTGCTGGGTGCCCAGCGTGGCGTGTGCTTGGGTGGTGGGGAATAGTGGCAGCCTTGGGAGGCCATGACCCAACAAAGCCTTGGGCCTCCCAGCCCTCCGCCTGCCGCCCTACTCTGGCATTTCTCCTGTGTGTGCTGTGTTTTCTTCCTTCCATTTTATTTCCAAATCATTTTGTGCCTATCAGCAGTCCCTCCTCATGCCAGCAGTGGATTGCACCTGAGGTCTGCTGGACAGTGGCGACTGGTTCACCATGAGCACCGTCTTTCCCTGGCCACTGCACATGCTTCCCCTTGATTGTATTTCCAACACCCTCTCCCCTGCTGCTGACCCTCTGTCATCTCCCGTGGGCAGGCCACTCCCAGTGATGACAAAATCTATCCTCGAAGCTCATATTACAGGCACTAGTTTCCTCGATTTGGAAATTGCTGTCCCATCAAGCAGGGCTGGGTTGGTTCCGTTTTGGAGCAAACACTCCAAGGCTCTTAAACATTGTCCCACCCAACACTACAAACAAAAGCCAGGCAAGAAATAAGCTATAACCCACCTGCAGAACATCATGGCTTCAGTGAACCAGGCAGTGGGAGAAAGGCTCATGGGAAAAGAAGTACACGCTCCTAGGTGAAGCGGGCTTGTCCGTGCTCACCTAGACCACGCGCTTTGCCAAAGGGAACAGAATGGCCGAGCGGGATTCAAGCCCAAAGGTGCCTGACTTTACAGCCTGGGATCTCTCTGGCCTCCTGGCCTTTGCACTTGCTCTTTTCTTTGCCTGGGTGAATTCAGATGACCAGCAAGTTTTTTTGTTACCGCTGCAGAGAGACTTACTGACCTCACTCTGTACAGTGAAGTTATCTCCGTGAAACCCTGCGTATTCCCTTCTAAGATTTAGCCACAACCTACAGTCGTCAGTGTTTGTCTTGTCTGAGTCTGTGTTTATCACAACCCTGTGACAACTCCTCACCATGGTCTCCCATGCCACATTCTTTCTTACATGTGACTGACACTCCACCCATTGAGATGCGGAGTCTGTTCTCTCACCTTGAACCTGGGCTTGTGAGTATTGCAGAGGTGACGCAAGGTGACTTAAAAGGTCAGGTCATCAAGGTGACCAAGTCTGGTCCCAACCCCTGTAAAGCTCATTATGTTAAAAATCCAGGGTGCGTACAGTGGCTCACAGTAAGAAACGGGCACTACTTTGCAATGCAAATCAAAACATTATTATTATTACTGTATTCTCGTGTTAAGGAAGTTTTGGTGTATCTGGAAGGGTTCCTGTAATGTTTTAATACATGGAAAGCTGCGCTGTATACTCAGACAAACACCTCGTGAACTGACATTAGATATGAACTGCACCTAATTGTACAAATTCAACTAACAAACAGATTTAGGAAGGGAACTGGTATGTAACCTGGGGACCGCCTATGTGCCATGTGGTATTTGCATGGCGTCCAAATCATGCGCCACCCCGTTTCACAGAAGGCATCATGGACGTTAAGCGATGCGTGACGTATCCTTGAGTTTGAGTTCACAGGCGCTTACCCGGGCCAGTGCTTCCCACGGTGCAGATTGCCCAGCTCAGAGGCAGTGGGTAAAGCAGTGGAGCACATAGGTGTGGGGCCCTCGCCGCCCAGGTTCAAATCCTGGCTCTGCCACCCTCTAGCTTTGTGATCTTGAGTAGGGTCCTCCATCACTCTGGGTCTCAGTTTCCCCGTCTCCCAAGTGGGGATCATTGTGTTACCTGACGCACAGGGTGTT